TTTTTTTTTTTTTTTTTTTTTTTTTTTTTTTTTTTTTTTTAGTGTTGCTCTTAAGGAATAAAGAGGGCACAATCAACAGCTGGTGCAAGTCAGTACAGCTGCAAATTTCAATACTGATTTACACCACCTAAACCCAGCCTAAGAATATATGTAGTACAGGAAAATAGGCAGACTTTGCTTTCTTCCATGTGCGGCTATCGCTTGCTGCTGACAGTATAAGAGTCAGCCGGTGCAACAGCCTAGAGGATGGCTTCAGACTCCTGTGTGAATAGCAGATGGTTTTGTGGGTGTGTTATAATGGCACCTGAAAGTCTCAAGTGAGATTCCTGGCCAGTTGTGCTAGGGACATATTTTAAGAGAGTCCGTCAGTCGTCGAAAGAGCTTAGAGTCTAAGCAGCAGAGCTAGTTTGGAGCACTCACTGAAATGCGTTATATCAACTTGGGGAGACTTCAGAAAGAGCAGGGAGAATGATACGAGATTTACTAAGTGTAATCTATGAGGAAAGGTTGGAAGAAATTGGTCTGCTCAGTCTAGGGGAAAAAAAGACTGAGGACTGATATAACAGTTGTTTTATGTAAAAGGTTGCTGTTGAGAGGGTGGTGATCAATTGTTCTCTCTGGCCACTGGGGGAAGAACAATCAAAAAGCAACATCATTTCCAACAATGATTTTGGTTAGGTATGCGGGAAAAATGTCTAATGGTCGGGGCAGGGAGACTGTAGAACAGGCAACCGAGGGAGGCTTTGGAGCCTGTTTCACTGGAGGCTCGTGGGAGGTGGTCCATCAGGGACAATCGGGGTATAAGTGATCCTGCCTCAGTGCAGGGGGTTGGATTTGGACCAGAGAACTTCTTAAGATTCCTTGGAGCCCTTTATTTCTGTGACTTCAGAGACGTATGGATTTTGATGGTTTTGACAAGAAAGTTGCTGAGGTCTAGGGTGGTCTTTCCAGTCGCACATAGAAACAGAGAGAGTGTGCATGCAATTAAAAACCTGGTAGGTTTGGTCCATAGGCAGACATGAGAGAATTTCCATTTCATGGAAATGTTTGAAAACTAATTTCAAACCCCCCGGTTCTGTTGTGAAATGGAATTCTCTATTCCCTGGGCAGCTCCATCAGACACATAAAGATGGGAAGAATGAAGTTGGGGGTCCTGTTTTCCTTTATCTTTGTAGCTCACTGCTAACCAGAAGAACCCTCTCTCACTTTACTCCTCTCAGTTTAAGCTTGATGCTTCCCTCCTCTTCTCCAAGCAAGTTGGAAGGAAGTGGTTAACCCTGAATGAACTCTGGACAGCTGGTCACTCTCTTCCTCGGGTCAAAAGCTTACCTTTCTATCTCCTGGGAGGCGTCACATTGGCAAGAGAAGCAGCATGATCATTATCTATTAATGGGGAAGTCAATTAAAAGTCTGCCATTGCAGAATACTTTCTGATGACTCTAATTATCCAATAATTGTATTATCTCATTCAGTGGTGCGACGCGGCACAAGGGCCCACCAGGGGATCTTGGGTGCCCGACTCCTTGGCAGACATCTGTGTGCATTGAGTTCTTTATGGCAGTTTAAAGGGAACTTCTGCTTAATGGACAAGAGCTGAGCCAGGATGGAAGGTGCTGACAGTGAGAAGATGATCTGGTATAACACGCTCTTGCTTCTCTGAGTCTCTATTGAAATGTGGCCCCAGTATGGTGTTGGAAACTGCTTTCCTGCTGAAATTACTGTGTTCCAGGTGAGCCATGAAACTGAGGTCCTAACCCAACGGCAGGCAGAGTCCAGCCTGCAGGCCAAATCAGGCCCACAGCCAGCTCCTTTTCCCAGCAGCCCCTGTCCATGTTGGTGCAGGCAGTTTCCATGGAGACACCAGCAGTGACAGGGCCAGGACAGTGTAGGGCCAAGGTTTCCATGGAGACTGGCCCCAGCAGCATTGGCAGGGTGCATGGCTGGGAGGGGATCTGCTCCAGGGCCAGGACTTTGCAGTGGTGACAGCATGGTCTGAACCCAGGGCAGAATTGCAATCTGTTGCTCACGTGCCCCAGGCAAGGGTGTGCAGGCAGCAGCTTGCAGCTCTGCCCTAGCTCTGGACCACAATGTAACTGCTGCAAGATTGCCGAGTGCAATGCCGGTGCTGCTGGGCCCTGTCTCTATGGAAACCCTTGCCCCGCGCTATCACAGCCCTGGACTCCTGGGGTCTCCATGGAAACTGGCCGCAGCTATGTGGGTAGGCGCTGCTGGGAAATGGAGTCCAGCCGCCAGCTGAATCTGCAATCTTGTCCACCCCTGTCCTAAGCCCTCTTGGTCACTAATGAGGCTTAAGCTGTAGATATTTTCATTCCTTTGGACACACATTTGCACAAGGCCTTAGGAGCCCAAGTCCCACCTCATTCCCACAGTAGACACATGTAAGCAAAAGTGTAATCCTCAAAACTGCTGTTCAGTTCCCATAGCCTAGAACGCTTAAAATCTGTGGGCCCCCTGTGGTTTGGAAGCTAAATGTCCCCAGGCACCTAAAGCAGGCAGGCCTTGGATTTCATTGGTCTTGACACTACTGAGCAAGTTAAGCAATGATCTTAGACCCAATCCACATTAACACCGTAAGCAGATGTTCCTCTGCCTTTATCATGGAACGGCTCTGACCCATTAGCCCTACTCAGAACACACCAATGCCTTAGGCAATAACTTGGACATAGCCAGAGAAGTAGGTTTAATGCCCCCATATACACACCCAGCAATTAAGCAATAACTCAGTGGTTAGATCCCCTTACACAGGATGTAGGTGGTGTAGGTTCAAGTCCCTCCACTTCCTGAGTAGATTTAGCTTCATTCCTGGCACCTTCTGGGAGACTGTCTAAATCACTTTTCCAGAGCACGCTGGGTTGACGGTATTGCAAATTCCTCTTTTTTTTTTTAACCTGTTCCACTTTGCTTGGCATAATTAAATATACATTGGGCCAGAGCCTTGGAGAAAAGTTGAGCACAACTCCCTAGCTTAGTAGTTAATATATTCATCTGGAAATGAGGAGACATGTATTCCAGTTCCTGCTGCAGGGACGCTTTATATATTTCCCACTCAACAAGCTTTGGAAAAAATACATGAATAGTCCTAGGAGCAGGGGTATTTTGAAAGAAAGGATTGACCTCTCTGCTTGTTTTTGTAAAGAAAAAGTGGTGGGTGCTTGCCTCCCTTCACTTGGGCTCCTGCAGCCCAGATTCAAGCTTCTAAGGCCTGGAGGTGGCTGGGATTTAACACCCCACTCCACAGCATTTGCTGCTTTTAAGCATAGGTACCTTCATGCATAGCATGGTACCTGCAGTTACTCCCATTTCTCCTCACTCTGGACTTTGTGTCAGAGTCTCATTGTGACTCTAGCTCGGAAAGTCTAAATTAGAGGAAAAGGTGATAAATCAGATACAATATCCAGAAGAAATCTACCCTTATGATGATGATGATGATGATGACACTTTCAGCCAAGAATCCCAAAGCTTTGAACAAGCGTGAGTTTACCCTCAAATCTACTCTGAGATAGTCAGGGATTATCCTCAGTTTAAAGTGAAAAAAAAGTGGAACAAAGAAATAACATGGATGTTTCAAGGTCATACTGTCAAAGCTAGCACCCAGGAGTCCTGGCTTTCCAGGGGCCTGCCCTGAGCACTAGACTGCTGTTTCTGTCCTAATGGTGACCAGTTTATCGGGGTTTGCATTGTATAGACACATGATCCTATTGCAGGAGGAAAAAGGCCAGGAACTCCCAGGAAATTTTTCCCATGTAGAAGAGCCATTCTTCCTGCATATCATCTACGCTCACTTTCTTTTTTACTAGCCCAGAAAGCAACGGTGCTGTGGGCTGAGGGGGTTATCAGACATGGCTCACTTCTGGCTTGGTGCTGTGTGCCTCCTTGCTATGGACCTCTTCACAGATGACCTCACGGTGCACTTCCCATCGAGTGGTCACATCAACCCTAACTTTATATCTGTTAAAACTCAGGTAATTGCTTTTAGATGGGTGTAATTAAGAAGCCATTAGTGTAAAGTTTCATTTCAGTTTATGCTTTAGCCTCCATTTGAGCAGAGAAATATGAAATTAAGGTATTAGCTCCTTTCAGAGAGATGAGTCATGAGCTAATAAGTTTCAAGAGCTGTTTCCCAGCTGTAATGACTCTGCTTTTCTCTTTCTACATCTTCTTCTTTTCTCCTGAATTCTCACTGCTGGAGCATTCCCTTTAGAGAAAATTCCCAGACTGGATCAGAGAGAGGAATGATTGAAGGGTTTCTGGGAGGATAAGCTTCCTTCCAGCAGTGCCGTCAGTGCACACTTGCAAGCACAGCAATCTGAGCTTCACCCCAGCTGTAAGTCCATGGTTCTAGCAGGGAATCGAGCAGCATGCTCATCCCTCCCACCCATGATCTGGGATGGCTAGGTGGGGTATGAGCTGCATTGAGCTTCTCCACAGTGGGCGCATTTACATGAGACCCTTACTACATAATAGCCTAATAACACTGCCCAGTAACATGCTGGTCAAAAACTGTGCTAATAAGCTACTGGGCAATGTTATTAGGCTTACTGCACAGTAAGCATCACAAAAAAACCATGCACCAGCACTACTGCTCAGTAACCATAGTTACTGCGCATTTAGTTAGTACTTCATTAAGTACTAAACTAAATGTGCAATACGTACTGCACATTGATGAACATATCGATGCACCCAGTATTGCCTTGATAGCGCTAGCTGAGAATCGGGTAGCAGAAGCCAACACACAGCAGTGCTCTGTCAGCACCATCTGGGACTCTCTGTAGCGTGACCTTTCCTGCAGCCATGCCCTGTCACTCACAGCCAGACTCTCCTTGCTGCTGCGGTACCGTGCCCAGCACCAGCTGAATAAGCGATTCTCTTTCCTCTCACATCAGGGTCTTCCTCTCCATTTGCTGCGTGACTCATCCCCTTCCCCCCAGAGGAACATCGGCTGGGCTCCTTCACTCAGAAACTACCTCCAACTTTAGTGTTGTGCCTGCCAAAAGAACTCTGCCGGACAGATGTGCCCTGGCAATCGCAGCAGGCAGCTGAGACCCCTGGAGGGTGAGCTTCCTTACAAATGGTGCCCTGTCTCCAACAACGAGGAGTGCAGCTGGCAACAGCAGAGGCTCCTGAACTAAATCAGTGACAGTTAGAATTGTAAATACAGTTAATCAAAGCTTAATTAAACAGTTCAATCTCTGAGCAAGGGGCGAGGGGCGGGGAAAGAACCCATCCTTAGTTTGAGATGGCAAAATGCTGCTGATCATCAATAATGCATAGCAGTAGTGTTCCTGTATGAATTGGAAATGCCAGACAATCAAAGGCCATATGTATTTAGCTTAGATCCACATGATGTCCATGTATTTTTAATAGTGTGGCATCTTTGAAGTGTGTTTACGCAGCCTGGCGTTTCGTTCTGCAGCTGCGGGGGACAGACCCCACCCCCGAATGGCAGAGATTTCTTTTTTTTTGCCACTTATTCCCTCCCTTCCCACAGTGCTGACATGGATGAGTTTACCCCTCTGTCCATGCGGCAGTGGGAATGGAACAGGTCCCCAGCCTGGGGTATTCTTTAGGTTTACTTCCTGATGCTATATTTTGAAGCAGGTGTGAAATTCAATCAATCCTAAAAAATAAATAAAAATGAAAAAAAAGCATGATAAAATGCCCTGGTATAGACATTTAATCTGATCTCTTCAGGTTTTCTGAACATTTCTAATGTACCTTTCACATTGGAACTTGTAATGCTTTTTTTCATCTTCCTTTCTAGATGTGGGAATGGGTGACTCAGGAGATTAAGGCTAGGATACAGGCTCTTTCATCTCTGAGTTCAAGATCCCCTTCTCCTCCCACCAAAAAAAGCTCACTTTTTTTTAACCATGAAGGCACCTAACAATTGAGACAGTGACGTAGGAATGAGGGAGAGTGCTGAAGTCTTTAAATCTAGACTGGCTTTCTTTCAAAAGATATACTTTAGTTCAACCATAAATTATTGCCCTGTTGCCAATCTCAAGTGTTTAAAAATTATAAAGGATAATATGTAATGCAGGTTCTTTTCTCTAGCTTGACTCTTTAGAGGGAACATTTTTAAGCTTCCTCCAAGTTCATGAGGCTGGGAGAGCTGAGAATGAATGGAAGCTGAGATTCCCAGGAGATGACACGAATCCATCAGCTGGGGGTTGTTGTTGAAAGGGATCCACGGGGTGGACTTTTCTGGCTTTTGTTATGCAAGAGGTCAGACTAGATGATCATAAGGGTACCTCGTGTCCTTAAAGTCTCCCAGGTGCTTCTGACTTTGGTGGTAAAGCTTGTCTCAGCTCCTAGCACATTTTAGACCCAATCTCCCTGACTTGACTATGCGGACACTGACAGCTTCGGTGCATAATTCACTAGCTGTCTATAGCCTGAGATGTTTCTGGCTGAAGTTTTATCTGTCTTGAAACGATCTGGGCCTCTGAAAACTGACCGTCTCCACAATTAAGCAAAGGCTGTTGAAAACCCTGAACTAAGTGACCTTGTGTCAGTGAGTCAGGGGTAGAGGCCATATTTTCTCCTTTATTAGGTTATCAAGTGGCACCCTGCTGGATTTTCCTAGCTGCCTGGTCGTGGTGCCTCCCTCTTCTTCCCTGCACTCTGTCTAGCCAGTTGAAAGGGCAGTGTCCTTGTGGCTCTGTAGTCCAGCCAGGGAAAAGGAGAAGCGAACGGATTTGGGATGGGCAATAAGGTACGTTAATACAAAAACTAATTCTGCTTCTATTTTAGGTTGTGAACCTGCTAAATTGCCTGTTGGGTTATGTAAGAGAAGTCATTGTGTTTGTGTTCAAAGGGCAGCCTTGTACGAAAAGCTCGGGACACCACTTGAATGCTAAGTGGCCAGGCTGAGCAAGGGAGATGGAGGGAATGGGCCCCGTTCCAAATTGATTAGTTCTGCTGGCTTCTCATTATTGTTCCGTGTGAAGTTTGGCATGCGAGCAAGGTCATTCCATGTATGGGCCTGTGTCAGCACAGCCAATTCTGCTGCTCACTTTTCCCGCCCCACCCCCTCCGCCTCCTTCCACCCCTACCTCCCCTGTACCACAAACGACATGCTGCCCGCACTAGAGCAAATTAAAAAACAGCCTATAAATTTTACATGAGTTCCCAAGAACGGAGAGAAATTAATTTGATGTTGTCTTTTGATAAAGATGTGGGCCCTTTTTTCTTTTTTCTTTCTTTCTTTTTTTGGATGTTTGCACTTCAGTTCTTGCAGTAAGATACATAAAAAAAAATAACCCACTTCAAACAACCCCATCTGGTAAATAAAGAAAAGAGCACAAACCAAAGAGGGGGAAAAAAACCAAGCAGCCCACTTCTTCCAAGCATCATTCCCATTCACCCCTGCTTGTGCCCCTCTTCCACCCCATATGCATACTCAGCTTCTGGCTTTAGAGTAGTTACTGTTGTGGGTGGTAATCCTATAAGCAGACCGCACACCCTGTAGAGCAGCCGAAAGGCACACTGAATACCAATGCGTGTGACAAACTGCAGGGAACTGGGAGAGAGGAGCACAGATTTCAGGAGGGAAGAGTTTGGCAGAGGCACCAGGGAGTCCATCTATGAGCACCTGACCTGAATTTTATTTGCAGCACGTCCATTAATAGCTCTTGTAATAAGGATCCACTTTAATTTTAGAAAGCTGGAGTATCTCATGCTAGTGTCATTACATGATTCATGACTTGGTCCTGGCTTTTTTGTTTTTAAATTCTTATGCTGGTGGCTTATGTGCCAGCCAGTACAAAAGTGGAGGGGTGGAGGTGCAAGATAACGACGTGTCCCTCAGCCTGCTCCAGTTCTCGTAGACTTTTTCTCTTTCAGTTATTTGTATCCACATACAATATTCTGCAGCTCATCAACACATAACTTACAGGTGGAGGTGGTAAAAAAGGATATTTATGACTTGGTGGCTAAATGGAAACTTGTATTAAAGAATGTAATTTTTGGCAGAAAAAAGAAAGCAGCAACAATAAAAATGTTTTAGCTCAATCCAAATCCTTGCTTTTGACCCAAACCAAAGTGCTTTCTTCTTGGATTACTTGACTTTGTTTCACTGGGGAGAGGGTGTTGTTTGTTTGTTTGTTTTTAAAGTCAATGTTTAAATAAAAAAGTTATGTTTTGAAATAAAAGTTTTGTTTAAAAAATGGTTGAATGATACAACTTGGCATTTGCAAAATGAAAAAGTTGACTAATGTAACCTGGGTACACCCAAGGGTGTGCCCTATTCTCAGTTGAATGGGATGGGTAGGCAGCAGGAGGTGCTGTGAGAGGAATGCCAGAATTTCAAGCAGATCCCTCTTTCCTCTGTAGGGGTAGCCCAAGCCCAAAGATCTTAACAATATACAATTTATTAAGTTATAATATACATACACATAAAACTAAATATCATATACATATATTTACACAGTGAACACTAACCAGTAACCAAGGTCAAACCCTAAATAACATTATTTACAACATCAAAATACATTTCAATTACAAAATATAAGGTGCAAACATGAACAACCTTAATAAAATCTATCCCTTAATACAGCTCCTTGACCCATGGCAAGAGATAGTCCTCCTTCCAATGGGGTCCCTTGGTGGGTGTCCAGGAAGCACCATGGGCCCCTCCACTTAGGGTGCTGACCAGGCGGGGCAGGTGCTGCTCACCCAACCCCTTCTCTGGGTTTGCCTGCCCCAAACGTCTTTCTCCTGTGGGACCAAAGGGCCCAGTGACTCACGCTTCCTCGGGTGGCAGTGGTCAGGGTGCAACTCGATGGGGTCTTCTCTGCTGAAGCGCCTCCCCAGGCCTCTCCCATACTGCTGGCTTCCTCCCTACCCTGTGCTCTGCTCTGGACACCAAGGGCTCAGCTTCTCTCAGCTGCTGGGTGCTGGGCCTCACGCTGCAGCACTAGCACTTCCCCGTGCCCTGGCTCAGCACTGAGGGCTCTCCTAGCACAGGCCGGGCCCTTCAGGCTTTGGTCAGCCGTCCTTACACCAGGTGGCTAACCCAAGCAGTCTCCGCTGCTCCCTGGCTCCTAAAGCTCGGGCCTATGCACCACCCTGCACACCATGGGACCTTGGCACTTGCCAGGAGGTGGGGCCTGAGCCACTTCACTGCAACCCGAAGGCCTTTGCCCCATGTGCTGTGTGGCCTGCTGGCCCTGCCAGGTTTGCAGACTCAAGCCACTGCTTGGGGGTCCCAAATCCTGGGCTCCATGCACCGAACTGTGCACCGTGATAGGCCTGAGCAGTCTCACGCCACTCCCAGGGCCAGATTTCTGCACACTATCCCTGTTGCTGTCAACAGCCCCAAGCAGTCCTGCACCGCTCCCAAGGCTGCTCCTCCAGTTGCAGCTTCAGGAGCCTTGGACCTATTGCCCACTAGGAGAGAGCTCCCCAGCTTTTCTTGGTTCCACTCTTCGGGAGTCCCTTGCTGCATCTGCTCCTCGTGCTGGGCATGCAGCTCCTCTTATACGCTCCAGGCGTCTGCCCCTGAAGTCTTCCGGACCTGACAGTTTACAGTCTTCAATCAGGTCAGGGAGAGGGCTTCTGCCCCTCCCCTCAGGAAAGGGGCGTGGCTTTATTTCTCCTGCTGCCTCCTGATTGGTAGAAGGGCTACACCAATGAAAACACCAGGATCTCAAGCTTGGGACTCAACCCAAGCTCTGAAAGGTGAGCCTGCTAAAAATGTTTAAATGAAATGTTGTGACATTTCTTCAAATCCTACCCCAAACCCCATCTTTTTTGGCTGATACTCTTTACCACATTCAGCCCAAATGGGCAAATATTTCCAGTTCCCTAAAACTTCATTTTTTGGTGAACTCAGGGTGCATCTACATGTGCGCTTTAATACATAGTTGCCTATTCTACTGCACATTAAAGTGCCACGTCAAAAACAGTGCTAATATGATAAGGTGAAGTAGAACTAGTCTACTGTGCATTAAACATCACTAAAAAGTCATTTGCTTTTGCTACTGCAAATTAAGGCAGCCTAATAAGCCTTTATGTAGTACCTCATATAAGAGGGCTCCTACAGAGGTACAGGAAATCCAACACATTGGAGTAGACTCAATTAATCGAGTCTGTTGGAAAATTGAAATAAATGCATTCCAGCAGACTCCGGCATCACGTGTATCATTGTCCCCACACTGAAAAATGGCAGCGGGGCCCTTTGAACTAAAGCTCATTCAAAGAGCTTTAGTTCAAAGAGCCCCATCACCATTTTTCAGCATGGGAGATGCTAACACACGTGATGATCAGGCACTTTTAATTAGCACATCTTGCTAATTAAAGCGCTCCCCCATGTCTCCCAGAGCACATGTAAAAATGCCCAGAGGTAGTAAACTCAATGTGCAGTAGCAAAGACTCATTAATAAATGTGTAGATGCACCCTCAGTCACTGGAACACATGAGCTGTTACTGTGCAGTGCTGTAGCATTTTTAGTGAGGGCAGCAGTCTGGTGCCCACCTGATTGATTTTCCTATTTTCTTCTCTCCCTTTTTTCCATGCACTGCTTACAAAACTGACATGAAAATGGCTTTGGAAGGGTTACATCCTCTTCTCTTCTTACCGCTCAGCTCTGTTTCATGACACTAGCATCATTTATGCATAGCAAAATAGTAAGTCCTCCTGCCTGTTCATCATGGCGTGATGGTTACGGTGATGGTTACGGTTATGGTCCTGGGTGTATTTGACAACATTGAATGAATGGAAGCCGGCCTACCAACACATTGAACTGTAGAAGTTCATGACCCCATATCTAAGACTCTGAATTAAACAAGAGGGTAATAGTTCTTCTGTGTGGTGTACATAGCTATGTAACCAGTGTAATTTTGTTTTCCCGTGCACTGTTCCTTTATATTTTTAGGTGTCTGCTTGTCAGTAGAGATCATAAGCAATTTTTTGAGGCAGAGAAGCAGGATGTGATGGAGGATACACACAATTACACACACTGGACTCTTTCATGGAAACTTAGTTTGGTTCTTTCTTGGTTTTTCCTCTTCCCATTAATAGTAAATATAAAACCTTGCGAATGAAAGTATCTTGCTTGTTGTGTTATATGGAAAGCGTAACATTTTTCACTGGCTGTTCTCAGCTGTGTTGTAAAGTTAATTCACTCTGAAAGTACCCAGTTCAATTCACATAGCCGTTAATATAAAGGCAGTAGAGGAATTGGAATAGGCTGTTGAAGAGCCACCATTTTCCACCCCAGATATAGCTGCATTTCACAAGATCTGTAGTGACATCTTTATTCCAAAAATGCAGTAGTGAACTCAAACTACATAAAACAGCTCACAATCCATCAGAATCTAATCAACATATGAGGAGCTTTAAACATAATGAGGCTGTACAGAAACATTTGATATCCTGAAGAAAAATGGAGGAAAAACTCAACCTGTTGAAATTAAAATATATGTATGTATGTGTATAAATGTATATGTCTATATATATTAAACATGTCAACTTTCTTTCTTCCAAGCTCAGATAATGATTACATGAAGCCCCAGCAATACATCCTCTTTGGAAATAATTCTGTAGCTGTCCACGAACAAGAAAGCGACAGGCAGCTGTTGCAAGGAAATTATGTATGAACACGCACTGATCTTTTAGGAATATTCCATCTGAATACTAAACAAACACCTGAGATCCCTGATGCTGCTGCCCCAAACTTGCCGTCTTTATGCTTGCTATATATAATGCCTCTTAAAAATTACAGTATTCTGTAGAACACGTTACATAGTTAAGCTCGTTGTTTAAGGAACTTTGGGGCACAATGCAAAGTGTATAGTTCACATTGGCCTTTTGTTAAAACTGACAGCCAGACCTACTGTTTCTTCTGATGAGAGGGGATCTTGTAAAGTTCATTTTCAGAGTAGTCAGATTCCTCTCCAAGGGGAACTAAATCAAACAGCTCAGTATTACGTCATTTGTAGAACAGTAACACCTTGAGGACCCCAACCAAGATTGGAGCCTGACTGTGTTGGGTACTGTTTCCACATTGCATACAAACAGTCATAGTATTGAAGAGTTTGCAGCTGAAATCTGCAGGGCAGACAAGATGGGATGGTAGAGGTGATGCCCAAGTAAATGCAGCATGTCAATAGCAGAGTCCAGAATGGAACCTGTCTCCTGACTTGCAAATCAGTGTCCTCCCCACAAATGTCCATGCTGCATCTTCTCAGTATGGAAGTCATAGTTTTATAGTTGTTAGGGGGTGGAAGAGACCTTACAGATCATCGGGGCCAGCCCCTCGGCACATGGGCAGGAAAGATTGCGGGGATCAGATGACCCCAGCAAGATGGGCATCAAAATGTTTTTTGCAGATCACCAGGGTGGATGACTGCTCCACCTCTGGGGGGAGCCTGTTCCAAACCCTCAGCACTTGACTTGCAAAGAAGTTTTTCCTTATGTCTACCATGAAGCCATCCTCAATCAGCCTATGCCCATTATTTCTTATAGGTAGATTTTTTTTTTTGCGTGCCTTTTTCTTCCTTCTGCCTGCACGTTAGTGCATTGCAAATACACAGATTCCTTGATT